TATGCATACCTACAAGTTAAGTTAGTCCCTGAACATATGTTAGTTCTTCCTGCCTTTGTTGTATTTTCCTCTGCTTAGTATCCTGTTTCTCACTTCCAAACTCCAGTTTTGTCTTTTGAGTACCCACTACCCCAGATCCCACTACCCATTGCCATCGAGTTGATTCTGACTCAGAATGACCCCCATTGGGTTTCCAAGGCAGTATATCTTTATAGAAGTAGATTGCTTTGTCTTCCTTCCATGGAGTGGCTGGTGAGTTTGAACTGCCAGCCTTCTGGTTAGCAGTCATATTCCTTAGGCACTGGACCACCAGAGATCCTTAATATGTAACATGTTGTTGTTAGGTGCTTTTGACTCACAGTGACCCTATGTACAACAGAACAGAACACTGCCCGGTCCTGTGCCAGGCTCACAGTGCTTGCTACATCTGGGCCCATTGTTGTAGACACTGTCAGTCCATCTTCCTGAGGACCTTTTCCTTTTTTTCTGTCCTTCCACTTTACTAAGCATTATATCCTTCTCCAGGGAATAGTCCCTTTTATGATAGTATCAAGAGAATTGTCTGAAAGTTAACACATTTGATTGTCCTAATGATCACTTAGGAGCTCTGGTTGCACAGTGTCTAAGGCATTTGACTGCTAACCAGAAGGCTGGCGGTTCAAACCCACCAGCCACTCCTCAGAAGGAAGGTTGGGCAATCCTACTTCTGTAGTGATGCTGCCTCGGAAACCCCAGGAGGGGTTGCTATGAGTTCGGTCCAACTCGAGGGCACATAACAACAACAACAACGTGTTCCATTGTATGTTCAAATCTAATTTGACTTACAGCATTGATTGCTCTTTGGGGACCAAATCAAATTCTTATTCCCACAACACAGTCTGTTGTACATAGGTGAAGGTCACTTTATGCTTGTGGAATGAGGGAGAGAACCCAGTTTTACCAGATGGCATGCTATTGTTAGTGAGTGTGGTGAGAAAGGAACAGGTGAGTGAATATGAAACATACAATTTAAGTCTTGGTGCCAAGTAACCGTAGACTTGAAAGTAAGCTCTTTGGAGTATTTGAGTAACTGCCTTACCAAGTATAATTTGTTAATTGATGGGGAGCAGTGTCACTTTCTTCTGTTAAGAGAGAAAATCCATTTCATAAATAATCTTAAAGATCTCAAACATTAACATGCATACAAATCCCTAGGGGATCTTAACCCAGAGCTTCTGATTCCCCAGGCCTGCGATTTTATGTTTGGAATCAGTTCCCAGTTGAAGCTGAGGGTACTGGCTTCAGGGCAGCTGAGCAGTGTTAACTCTTCCCCTTACAGACTAGGCCATTGGTCTCTGCTTACAATCACAGTTCAATTTATTGGTGTGGGAAACAATCTGTGAATTTTTTGTTGCAGATACTTGCTTATATTTCTGTGTCTGTAAACTTATATAAATATGGATTTATGCATTTTCTCCTGTTTTTATTTTCAGAGGAAAGAAATGATTGGATCAGCGTACTATTAAGTGCACTGAAATCGCAGTCTCTTACCTCCCAGTCTCAAGCAGTTGTTGTTCCTGAGAAATGTGGATATCTTGAACTGAGAGGCTATAAAGCCAAAATTTTTACTGTGTTACGTGGAAACAGTGTGTGGCTTTGCAAAAATGAACAGGTGAGCTATGTTACCATAATTGCAAGTTGCTGTTTCTTGATTATGTTAGTAGCTGTTCTTTCTTAGAATTTGTATTGTTTTTCTT